GGACTTTTTGGCGGGAACGCGAGGAGTGAAGTTGTGTGATTTGTTTTATTTTGTCTATTTAGTGTTTCTTCAGGTTTAAATGTGTAATAATGGTGGTTTATTAACTGTTTAATATCTGTGAAAGTGCACAAATGTGGGAAAATGAAACAAAGCTGCTTGACGTAACTTCTCGGGTTCCTCCAAAAAGTCCACTGAAAAAATCTCAGTAAATGACCACCATTTTACTGCGATTATATTTCATCCCATATCATTTCATTTCATTAAATTTCATCTCAGTTGATTAATGTATCAAATTAATCATTTTCATTTCATTTCACTCCATATTATCATTTTTCATAAAATTAAGAATATAAAGTAAAATAAGACATGACTTAAAGGTCTTAGTTACCAGGTCATAAAATCTCTTAAAAAAAAAAAAAAATGATTATGGTTGTAATCCATGAAATATTCAAGAATTAAGAATGTAAATGTAATCACTGTTGTAAATCAACGTAACAGTTATTTAGATGATCTGATTCTTATAAAATTTCTTAAATACTGCCAATACAAATATGTAAATGCTAAGGGCGAGCTAAAATAGCTAAGGGATTTTTAAAATGAGTAATTTAGAGTACATTCAAATAAAAGACCTGAAGGCAGGTATGAAAAACATAAACGCAGTATTTATAGTGTTGGATGTAGGTCCGCCGACATTGACGAAGGAGGCTCGGGAAGTGCGCACGCTGCGGGTAGCTGACGCGACCGCCTGCGTCAATCTGTCGGTGTGGGACGAGCCGGGTGCCTTGCTGCAGCCCGGGGACATCGTGCGTCTCACGCGGGGCTACGCCTCACTGTGGCGGGCGGCACTCACCCTCTACTCTGGCAAGTCTGGAGACATACAGAAGGTATTAGTAGAAATAATATTAAGACTTAGGTTTTTTAAAAATAAGCATGTACTTCCTATACTACTGTACATGATATAATATGATCATATAGGAATATCGTGAAAACTCGTGCTCTGTTTCAGGTTGGAGAGTTTTGTATGTTATTCAATGAGCAGGTAAACATGAGTGAGCCACAAGCTACTCCTCCCGCACCACCCGCTCCTCCCTCGGCTCCAGCTCGCAATCAGCAGTCGTCTGCTCCGACCACACAACACAACAACAAGTCTGAACGCTTCACACCTTCAGCTACTGAACATGGCAAGCATGCTCACAAGACATACGTAAGAGGCCGAGGTCACCAGCGAGGCAACAATAGGAGATAGCAGTCACCTGAATAGGGCCAAGTTGTGGACTTGAGAAGCTTGAAACAACTGGGGTTTAAACTAAATATTTAACAGTGAAAAGTGACAGTGTAATAGAGACATGCTTGTGAGCTCGATGCAAAGGTGGTACATAATGCAGAGACAAACTGAAAACAAAAAATACCTTTGGTGGAAGAGTATTTTGTAAGCCTTCACAGGTTCATCACTATCCTGCCTATTTGTTACAAAACAATGAACACATTTTTATTTTGACCACTTGCACTTTGAAAAAGTGGACTGTCATTTGTGCCAAAACAGTCTGAACAAACCGAACTATATGTATCTAGTATATCTTACATAGTATTCCACGGTTTAGTACTAAACATGCAAAGTGCAGTACCTCAGCAACAACCTGGAATATTTAATGGTGTAAGCCACTTCTTACATTCCCATGTAGTTTCACTCCATTTCTTGTTTTGTAGTTTGACACTCATTGTATTTGTTTCTGAGCCAATTCCATCAGTACATAGATAAAATGGTTTTTAGCGTTAGTGAGTAATGTACTAAGTCAACTCATACTCTGAGAAGTATTTATACTGTAAATAGCCTGGGATACCTGTTCAATATTTGTATCTGATTGACAACCTTATGCTGCGGATGCCTCCTGAGGGCTTTCAATATCTCTATCGATTGGGAATAATTAAAATAAACTCCATTAGTAAAGCTTAAAGTTCAATAACTTTTTAAAGAAAATTCAGTTTGGAGAAGAGTCATGTTATAAAATCTCATCACTAAACATGATGTTTGCAGACTATAAATAATATTATATTTAATCCCACTATACTCACTTTCTCTTAATTTTTAGTAAAATGATTTTGTTACGAAAATCTTATCAGTTTTAGAAGGTACCGGTGTAAGAAGAAAACTAAAAATATAACTAAAATACATGAACTTTGGAGAACAGAAAATGTAAATGAATTTTAGTCTCCTGTGAAAAACTTTGGTATTTGATATTACACACAACACACACACACACACCCCTCAATTGTGTTGTAGATGTAGTAGGTGATACAAAGTAGATCATGAACTAGACATGTATACACTACACATATGGTTTCAGTCCCTAATAATTATTATTTTGAATGGCTTGATGATGCCAATGTCTGCAATTTTAAATATCAGATAAGACATAATGTGTATCCTGCAAGAACAATGTGTAATAAAAATATGGACTCTTTATTTGTTTGGGATTTTTATTCTGTATAATTTGTACTTAAATTCTACAATTTCTAATTAAATACGACCTAAATGATCTAAATGAATGGCTTCTCCGTGGTTTAAAAACGTCGTCTAATGAAAATGAAATTCGTCAAATTTATAAATTTGAACAACTAGCGGTGGGGAGGCGACTGAGGCGAGCGTCCCGCGCGGGTAGCCGCCAGCTTGTGGCTGCGCCCACGGCACTTCGGTAAACACTATAGGCCAGGTGAGCTGTGAGCTTATTCACCTGTGTCATTCTGATAATCTTCAAGCTGAATTGATGCTAAAGTATCTTACTTCGATAAGACGATGCGTAATGAAAACCGCCTTAGCACATAATTATTAGACGTCTGCAGCTTTGTAACACAGTAATAAATTGTTTAAATTTTTATTGCGACCCGTTTTAGCGACCCCTGCATTTGAAATTATTTTATCCTCGATTGGATATAAACGCGTGCTGGCGTTGTAGCAGGTCATTCTGAAGCCGCGCTAAATGGTTACAATAAAGGTCTGGTCTACACTAAAGAGCTATATCTGAATTACTACATCAAGTAATTTACTACTTACCCGATTCATGATATCGGTAAGTCTTTATGTATTCCTTTGTCTAAACTCTATAGATTCTCGTGACTTATTGTGGGTAAATAATTTATTGTAGGGTTCCAACAGTCCCGTCAATCGTGACTTTTTATGGTTGGAGTACGCTCGGTGGATCGTGCAGTATCGTCCCGGAATCTAACTCGGTACCGTTTATTTGTCAATTTATGCCAAGGAGCTGGAATATCCTCGTTGGATCCCAGGACCCTGTGCTTTAGAATCACAATATTTTAAAGATACGTATAATTATTTAACAGTTCAATTCGTTACGTCTCACCATCATCATCATTCTTCTACCTGCAATAATTGATTAATGTAAGCCCCTGTATTTTTATGTAAAATCTTAGTAAATTTTATAAGGATGTGTTTAATGTTTAAATGGTTACATTCCTGGTTTTTTTATGGCTCCCTGGGAAACCTTATAATATTAGTCTCATCTTCACCACTGCGGCTACCGGTTGTAACGGTCCTTAATCAACGCTTACCGTTACAGCTTCAGCACTAGGAGCAGGCAACCGTACCCTGGTAACCGTACTTGTACTCTTCAGAGATCGATACGAAACCTAGCCCATAACTAAGCCCGCTGAGTTGAGTTTCTCACCGATTCTTCTCAGCGAGTCGTGATTCCGATACGGTAGTAGATGAATTAGCGGAGCCGTTGCCTTTGAGCTGTTAGGTCTCCTACGGAGGCGCACGGGCAGCAGCTAGCAAACTCCCCCTTCCGGCTGAGCTCCCTAGTTATTCTCTCATCCTGGTCCAGCGCCAAAGTCTTCGAGACGACCGTTATCCATTCCCCCCACTCATATTAAGCGGCTATAGATTTTGTTACGCCGGTAAGAGTAACGCCATCTAACGTCGAATAGCTGAAACGGATATCAAAGGATCTAGTAACATCTAGAAAACTCGAGAAGTACAACGCTATCTATTGTCACACATCGAAAATACTCGACTTGTGACGAAGTCGTCGTGTCCTAAAGGATAAAGACGTCCGGTGCATACGTGTTGAGCGATGAATGCAACGGTGTTCGATTCCCAGGCAGTAACATATTACCTATCGTATATTTTATTTTTAATGAAGTATTTTGTAAATTTTCTATAACAAATAAAGATTTGTATGATTTTTTATTTTTTTATTTTCTGTGTTTAGTCATACAATAATTAAATGCCTTAGCTTTAACAACATATTACTTTGGGGGACTCCGGTAAGAGATGTCGCTAGTTGCCATACAAAAAATATTTGTCTTAAAGTATCGTAGTTTCAACATAAGCTTGCATGTATACAAGTTCCGAACAAATACAATCGGACCGTCGCCGTCGGTCTACCGAGCAATATCACCCGCTCGGTGGAAGATCTTCCCTTTGTCGTATATGATCTCTACAACGACTTCAAATATATTATATAAGTGTTGACGCCTACTAAATGTTAATGAGCAATGATGAACATTTTATTTATGTTTACGATTGCACTTTAAGTAATCGCCGTGCCAAGCTAACTTGTTTCGCAACATAAACATTAAGAAAAACCTGTAATACAAGCTCAAGATCGATTTGGAAGTATTATTCAAGAAACCCAAGCATCCAACAATATGTATATGTATATGTATGGCAGCCCACTGCCGCTTCAGCTTGCCGGCTCGTTGAGCTATGGCGATGACTTTAGTTCCCGGTCGAATAACTTCACTCCTCTTGAATTTATCCTGCAGAGAGGCTCCGAGCATTGCTCTTCCTATAGCTCACCTCCTCCAGAGCGACCCGACGGATTAGCCGTGCTATCAGTGTACACAGGCCGCAGGGCAAGAGCGGCAGGATGCACTCGTTAAAAACTCGTTTTCAGGCACTGGGATGGACACCAAAGGACTCCACGTGGTTTGTCAAACGCGGCTGATCTCGGCTGGACTGTCCTGCTAGCTCTCCTCTCTAAGTTGCTTTTACCGAACTGCAACGTCTGTCGCATTCTTGAACAGTTTGAAGCGGTGAGCCTTTACGATGATTGGACTCGAGCTACTGTAATGTTGGACATTACTTTAGTTTTATCCGCGTTCATCTGTAGTCCAATTCGCTTCGACGAATCTGTTTAAGCGTTCAGCATCTGCTGCAACGATTCTGCCATAAGGACTGACATCCGCAAATCGCAGGTGAAGGATGTTCCTACTGGCCATTCATGTTTATGCTCATTTCGGGGAAATCACATCCCCCTGTGTCATCCTCCTGCGCAATTGGATATAAATGCAAGTGAGGAGTTTCATAACAGTATATGTCTTTGTTTCAAATGCAATCGTATTTCATATTTTGTTTGGCTTTATGACGTAGGTAAGCCGAACACACGGCCAAGTCAATTATAAGAGGCTACCGAAGTCCGTGGGACGCCTCCCCCACATGGATCGATATTATACAACCTTGCGTACCGCTCCCTAGTGTCATCCGCAAACATCGATAGCCCCAAGCCCCCCCCCCACATGTTCACGTGCACTATGAGCACGAGACACTTCTTCCTGTCGTCTCAGTGAGCGATCTAATGGAACTCTAACTGATGCTAACGTGGACCTTGCTGTCTTCGTTCGTGATGTGATCGAGTTGAGCATTTAATCCTTTAAAAAAGTTTGGGTTTGGCCTTCGCATATAAAAATTTAAAAAAAAATTATCTATATAAGTAGCGAGTGACATTTTAACAAGTTTGAATGTAGTTCATGTAACACACACACACGCATGTGCGCACACAAACACGCACACACATATAGAACACCCACGATGACACGTCGGGCTTGATATTTACCTACTACCTGTGTTCCATTAGCCTTAGTAACAACAGAACAGTCAAAATAATATAGTAGTATAGTAGTAAATAGGATGTACTCCTATGTAATACTCATACGCGTCCCTGTTTAGTACGCATGGTGCTGGAGCGCCTCGGCAGGTCCCCACGTGTTGTCTCCGCGCCGCCGCCGCGCCGCATCGCCCTGACAGATGCTCTCGGTGGTACTAATTCCTTACTTCCTCCTGACATTGTATTTTCGGTTTAACTTCTCACAGTGTTCTACAAGGGTCTGTCTGCTGCACCACCGCGCGAGTGGTGCTCGTCGTCGGTAGGAGCAGGAGGTGGCGTCCGGTACGTCCAGTTGAATTGATGATAGAACTGTGTTCAGAGCAACGAATTTCGAAGTTTATATAACGGATTTAGCTGACTATCGACTTGTATGAAAATTCGACTGGTCTCATTGTAAATAAAAGTCATCATTTGATTTATCATTTGTTAGTTGATCATTTGTTTAGAAATAGACGAGACGCTGGGAGCTGCTGTAGTCACGGGACAGCAAATGAAGCTCGGCGGCCATCGGAACCTGTGACGACGAGAATTTAATACTGTCAGTAATTTTACAAAATATAGCATATTGTAGTTTTCAATGTGGTCAATCACTGTAACCGGTAGACACCCGGCTTGAGACGTGAGATCTGAGTCTCAATCGTATTAGGTATATTACGTGGCTTGACGCAAGGATTATAAGATTAAATGACATGTTTTTGTTTTTTATTTGGTTCAACGAAAGAATGAAAAGAAAATATTCAAACAAGACTCGAACGGGTTCTGTTAATTGTCATTGAATTGAATGTCAAGGACAAGGACATCGTTGGACCGCGCGCGTGCTGCGACCCGGCCAACCACCAACGCTTGGCCTAAGATTAAATCCAAGCTTTTAATCAAATTGATCCGTAATTACTAATGTATTCGGTGATGTATGTTTTCATCCGAGCTTACAGCTGTTATTAAACTGAGCAAATTTCAAAAGCGTTACATTTCGACTCGTGACGTTTGTAGGTACTTCATACACGAGTGTGAGTGCCGACACACACTCACAGGAAGCTGTACGGTACAGAAGTGTGTGATCTCAAATCTACGACCGACACAAGTGGCGTTGGATATTTGTAGTGTGGTAGTCCCAACTGTCCCCAAGTAATGAACACCAGTGCTTTTACATAAATACTGCTATGTCGACCGGTGAATGAGCTCACAGCCCACCTGATGTGAGGTGGTTACCGGAGCACACAGGCTGTACAACCGATGTGACACCGACGGTGAATGGTCTCGACGTACGAGGCCATTCAGAACAGAATGAAGGATCGCTTAGCGATATGTGTGGATATTCAGGACGGCGGCGGCCCGGCGACGCGCCACCTCGAGTGGAGCACCCTCCATCCTCCGCGTTGTCACGCCGCACCCCCGCACCCCCGCACCCACGTGTGCATATGTGCATAACTATGTAACATTATCTAACATAGACCGGATCAGCGTGCTATATTGTTTATTTTTGTTATGTCAATATTTCTACAACAATATAAACACGGACGGATGCACGGGCCGCGCGCCGGGAGCACGGAAGTCTCTCCTCTGTAACTTGAGCACTCGGCAGTTTGAAGTTCACGCATACTCAAACGCCCACGCGGTTCGTCCAATGTCAATTGTTCTCCGCGCGCACGGGGAGGCCGCGATCTTGCTGAGAATGTTTAACATTAACAATGTTGTTATTGCGTCTAACAACTTCCAAAGAAAATACTTGTTATTTGTGACTTTGCATAAACGTTTAGATTCGTCGAGTCGCTCACCGGCCGCCAGCCGCGGCACGACCTCGGTCTCGCCGCCAGCTACTGCGAGCTTCATCGACGTCTGATAAACGGTTCTCGAACGTGTAGAGAACAAACTATTTTATTTTTTATCATATGTTAACCAGATTAAGAAAAACGAATCAAGAATTTTTATAATAACTACATGGACGTATACAATCCTGTAAAGACTTTAATCCGAGTTCCGCGCGCTGCTCGGCACTGTCATGTCGGCAGATGACCACAGTCATACAACCCCACATACTCGATACGGCACTGCTGAAGAACGTCACTGTGCGCTTGCGTCAGAGCAGAGCCCTGCTCCCAGCACCGACTGGTGCTAGCTGGCACGCACCGGGCACCAGCCCGCCGGACCCTGCTCCGTGCCCGCACAACATCGCGACAACGCGTGGCGTAAGAGTTCCTTCAGCGCCCCATACTGCCCGATGAAGTTGAGGATTTTTAAAGCTTTTAAAGCTCAGTACAATTTATATCGCAGAACATTAAAATTACTTTCTCTCTCTCCCTCAACCCATCTCTGCCTCTCGCACCCTACCCGTCCCTCTCTCTCTCTGTCTCTCTCATACACATACACTATAACCTTGGCACAGGCTTTCACAATTTAATGAAACAATTAACAAGTAGCCTTGTTGTTTTTGATACGTCGTAAGAAAACGATATTAAATACATTAAGTTGTTTGCGTGTTCTTGGCCGTAAATAGGCTGTTCAATAGTGAACAAGTAGAGCACGCAGGGCGACCCCCCCCCCCTCACCTGCAGCCGTCTGCTACGTCACTCCGTTGTACTGGGTACTTATTGTAACGATAGGGGCTCAAGTGTGAAGCTGTCGTTTTAGCGCTAAGCTTCACCTAACCTTATTTTAAAATAAATCTGAACATATTTTTATTTTGCTTAGATGTGTGGACGTGCTCTCATCGCAGCCCGTAGATATCTACAACGTATATGCCACCACCCACGTGAAGACTAAAGTTCTAAGGTTTCAGTTTTAACAGTACAATGGCTGCCCCACCCTTCGAATTGAAACGCATTACTGCTCCACGGCCGAAATAGTCAGGGTGGTTGTTCTTACTATTTTGGACTCCGAAGACGTCCTACCACCAGTAATTATGTAAATTATGTTACTTGCCTGCGGGGTTAGAACACTCAGATACAAATGAACAGGGCGTCTTATCCTTTAGGCCACGACGACTTCACTGCTTAGACACTGTATTCGTGATTGGAGAAAGGTGAACCCACGCGGGTGGGTACTACTATCCTGTGTATCTCTGGCTCGAAGCAGTCATGCATTCCTGTTGGAAGGGTAGCAGAAACGTTGTACATTACAATTCGGTATTCAGACTGATTTTCATAGGCCCCGGCCACCATTTAACATTAGGTGGGCACGTTTATACAATAAATAAAAACGTGATCTCTGCATTCACGTGATCAAGGGTTCTCAAGGGTCGCTGGACTCACTTCGCTGGTATCTGATCTGTGGTCTCCCGACCACACCCCGAGAACGCTTCTCCGCCGAAGTATCCTTGTTATTGATCTGTGCAAGTCCGCAGCGGACCTGTGGTGGGTGTGGTGCGGCGTGGTGTGGTGTGGTGACGTTGACGATGTGTGTGCGACATGGCAACGAGCCTTTTGTTTGCATTCTCGAACGAAATCAAAATAAAATTCTTTATGAATCTGACCTTTAATGTTTAAACTGCAATTTCCATATACATAGTATAATATGTACATATCTGCTAGGGGTGCTCAATAAAATTAAATAAAAATATATTCTATTAAATGTTATTTTATTTTTCAACCTTTCAGGTTTATATATATTGTATATCTTTTTTCCCAAAGCTAAAAGTCTTTTTTGAAAAAATCTTCCCCTCCGTGATCCCTTAAAAGCTCGTGTACCGCGGTTACGACTTGCCCCCGAGTTGCTCCTTTAACCGCGGACAGGAGCTAGTTCCGGTGAACATAGAGAAGGTTCCATCAATTTGAAGCTAGCTGCTTGAATGGCAGCCATCGCAACTGTGGACTTGTGCGCGCGGGCTTCATCTCGGGGCAACAGAACAAGTTTAGCGAGTTCTGCCACGCCGCTGCTCTCCTCCTGCTTCCTCACGCAACATTGTACTGCGTGCAAAGTCCCCGTAATATTGGCTCCATGATTAAGGTACTCGATCACTACCACCTTTAGCCTGTCCCATAAAAAAACTTTAGATCTTACAGCGGATGGAATCGCCTTAAATTTCTTCGGAGTGTGAGATAACGATCTCTTTCAAATAATGGACTGCTTCTTTGTTTTGGGTCATAGTGGTGATCTTATGTTTCGTCCATAGTTATGAATCGAACCAAAGATCGGTCAAGATCTTGTTGTAGCAAACCCAAACAGCTTTGTGAAATTGTGTGCCTCATTGTTTCAGCGCGTTAGAGAGCTTTCCGGGCACCCAACGCGCTCACACATTTTCCATACCCAAATGGTTATGTTTAATATTATCGACACTTCCTAAAGATATATTCATTTCTTCTGCTACACTATCGATGTCCGAGTATGTAGGGCGTCCCGTGCGGGGTCGTCGTTAATAAAAGTTCTTCCTCACTTGAACTCAGCAGTACTCACCAGTACTCAGCACACCAACGCGCAACCCTAGAATATAGAGGAGCAAGAATCCATAATGTTGCTCTCAAATTTTTATTTATCAACTCCGTAGTTAAAAAATTCAAGTTGAGATATTTTATTACCGCGCGAGCTTAAATTTTATCCATTTTTAAGAACACGTTACGACACGACATGCGACACTGAGGAATGACTTCTATTTTTAAAAAACAAAAGACGTTTGATAGCTTATTTTATTGTACCTATTTAATATCTGCGCTATGTTTGCGAGCTTTTATTTTTCCAAGGAGAATGTATCGCGTTATCACCATTTATAGAACACTCTTCAAATATTAAACTGTTTTATTATTTATTTCAGTCGTGTGCCGAGCCGCGCGTCGCCAGCCGGCGGGGGTCACAGGGCGCTGTGCTGTGTTGCCGCCTGGCCTCGCTCCCAGTGCTGTGGGTAGTTGTCTCACACAACGACACTGTTGTTCCCTTGCCGCAGCGGGTGAAGCCCTGCCAACTCCTTGCGATCCGCGCAGCCGCATCATTCACACCTCCGCCAGTGAGGTCGCCGCTGCAGCGACTCGGGTGGTTCCTTGTACATTGATCAGTCGTATGGTTGGGAATGATGACGATACAATAAATTGTCCTCGTCAATACCAGTCGTTGCCTCGCGCCATCACCGACCGCGGCTCTGTGACTTAGTAACTTATTGGTGGCGGTGAGCACAGACGCCACTGGGCCGCGGCTGTTGTACCGGACAACTCATGTGTGAACGTAAATTCGCTCGACATTACAACAAATAAGACCGCAGTAATGATGTCTAAGTAATATTACGTATACGTATGTATATGTTGTTGTGAGATTGTAAGTTGAAGATCTGTTCGAGGACGTCGTGCGGGCAGTGCTCTCAGCTGCGGCTCACAGTGGCGGCTCACAGTGGCGGCTGGTTCAAGGGCGCGGTGTGTGAGCTCTCGACGACGGTGACGGCGACGGTGACGCATCACAACAAAACAAGCGGCAAGTCCGCGGCGTCGGCGCGTGGAGGGGACGCGAGAAGAGCTTAGTGGAGTGAATACAAGGGCGCGCCGTGTGGTCCGCTCACAGTGCACGCGGACACCAGACATACAACATGACGCGAACCGCGCTGCTGCTTGGCCCGCTACTGTGTCTGCTCTGTGAGTATCACACACACGCACACATATCAAATCAAACATTAGATATTTCAATTATAAATAGAGATTAATATCACATAATAAGTGTCTCCGTCCGCGGTGTTCCGGCGCCCGTCCAGAAGATCTCCCGTCTGCTGTTCTACTGTCGATTCATCGTTGAACGTTTCGATATTGTGATTGTGTTGGACCAACATTGTCATTCTCGTACTTCGAATGCTCTGGATTGTATTGTTTACTGATGAAAGCCGCGCCGGCTGCGTTACGATGTGACGTGAACACGCGTCTGTGGACACTACTCACTAACTTCGCGTCGCTCGACGCTGGTCCTGGGACAAGCACGGAACTTCACGGAACTTCACGGGACACGGAACTTGGTAAAGTTGCAAGTCAACAAGATCAATCGCGCGCGAGCATGTCGCTTACGAACAAACAAACACATAAGTATTTGCTTTAAATGTTCGAGCGCCGCGCCGACGTGCACACACACACACACACAGTCGACCGCCTTGAGAGCGACCGTGCAGGGATGCAGACTGCACCGCGCAGCCACCGCGCAGCACCCGGGCGCCCGGGCGGTGCCCACGCGCTCGGGGCACGGTGCGACCACACGGGAATGTCGATTATTGTCGATGTCATCGAAACATTTGTTCGTCCAGCGTTACTTATGCGCGCCCCCTCCCCCCGCCGCCCGCTCCCCCTCCCCCCGCCGCCCGCTCCCCGCAACAACAACAATTATGGCCTTTGGGCGTCGTGGACAACTTGCTTACTATGCGAAGCTCTGCACTGGAAGCCTGCGGTCACATGCCTTGCTGGAGACCACTATGATCGTCAATCACAAGTCCTTCTGCCAAACAGATCGTTCGCTGTCGTCTCAGCGTCCATATACCCCGTGCGTATATATTGCATACCAGAGAGTGCTAGTGATATATTTTGACTTGTCCAATCTGGTAGAGGCCGGCCGAGCCGCTGCCGAGCCGCCGCCGCACCGACACAGCGCCCGCGAGGTGAAACCTGTCCCACACAATATTTACGAGCGTGTCGTATTAGTATAACCAGTTCGTTCATAGAAATCAAATCAAATCAATTATTAAAACTCAAAGCTAAAATAATGATCAGTAGCAAGAAGATGGTGAAATAATCAGTCGTTCCTAAGAAGTATCTACATACGTGACTCAAACATTAGGTACCGTATGAACGGACACAATTGTAACCGAATAAGAAGTCTCATCCTCTGACCACAAACATTGAGAAACAGCACCGTCTCCAAGTGTCGCGTACCGGCGCGGCGGCGTACCTACCTACACTCTACGGAGCGTCGCGTCGTGGCTGGTGGACGCGCCGCGGGCTACACGCCGTTGTCAACGGAGCGGTGTTGTCTGACGATACGTTCACCGCCCACTGGACGGATCCGACACAGAGCGTGACCACGGAGCACGTCTGGTTCATAAATACGTGTATATATTATTATATCTTGTTTGTATCAATGGTGAATTTTTACGCACGGAACGAACACAAGCAGAATAGAGCGTATTTTGCTTCAAAGAATATACCTAGGGAAATGATGTCGCGGGCTTCATGTGAACGTCGATGCAAATTGATCTGTGCCGGTCCGCTCTAGTACTCTCGCATTTTAAAGGCCGTATTTATCTGATGTCATTAACATAATACGATACAATAATATTATATAAGGCACCTAATAAGAGGACCACGCAAATATTCAAGGTCACCGCAGTAACAGGAACTATGCGAGTGCGGCCGCCGTCGCCGGGGAAACCCACACACACGCATATCTGGTTTTTTACAACTTTTATTAAACGTTATAGATCTGATTCCAACAGAAAGAAGGGACTTGATCAAGTCGCGTGTGTTTCGTTTATACCTTCCTCAGCACCTTCGACAGTGTGTGTGCCGGGCCGCGGCGTGCTGCGTGCCACCGCCGCAGTCTTACTGGCTTAAGTACAAGTATCTGTAATATGTCCGCAGGGGGAAGTCGTGCGGCGCCAGGGGAGCTGCGCCCCGCCCCAGAACTGGAGCCCCCCGCACAGGGCGGCACCGGACTCGAGCGCTCCGTCCGCGCGAGCGCCTCCGCTTCCTGGCTCAACCTCATTGCAGGTACCGACGCTCGTCTGAAAGCCCTCACCGGCAACTATACCCAATAGTCCCAGTAGTTCATGTTCTCTCTCTCTGGTTGTCGTTACAGAGTACGCGGACCGCTCGGAGAGTGACTCCGCCGAGGACGACGACTGGTTCCCGAAGCCAATCCCCATCACTATCCCTCTGGGTAAGCATCCCTCTGAGCTAAGCTTACAGCTTCTGGGCAGAGCATATTGTTGCTATCATCCGCTTATTAAGGCCGAACAGCAGTCACGTACCCGCTGTGAAGTGCCGGATAGTCAATATACAATACAATTGATACTCCGACCTCACGTCTTATGAGGTCTTTGAGCTCTGGTAACCACTCATGCCGCGCGTCCAGCCAGCGGGGCCACGCTGCGCCTTACAGTATGTCGGTACAGTAAACGACGCTGATTGAATGAAACCCAGATCCAAACACATTATGTATTTAGTAAACAAACATTACGCAAAAACCGGAATCATAAAAATTTAAATGTAAACCAACAACCTGACCATCAGTTGCGACATTCATACATAGTATAATTCTTGATAAAGCGTTACATAATGCAGTGTGGGCGCGCCCTAATGTTTATATGTATTTACATACTTTCGTAGAGTATGTAAATATAGACACACATATGAACACGCACTTATTCAAAACAACAAACAAACAAATTTAATTGATGGCACCTCAATAGAAAAACGTCTTCAACCAAAAAATGCACCCCTGAGAATAATTAATTGTACAATAACGCCTCCATTGTTCCGCCTCCATTGTTCTACTCAATGTACTAGAGAAAACAACATCATGATGTTAACGGAAGTCTGTGTGACGACAGGTCGCAAGAAGTCGATGCCGCTGCTGGTGCTGCCGATACCGGTCCCCGCCTCCTCTTCCAAAGGTATGCTTACATTGTGTCACACCACACAGCTCCCACTCCCATTGAACTCTTACGCACTTGCCACTTCTTCGACCATAATAACAGCAACAGTAGAGTCTCGCTCCGGCGCCTCTTAGTTCGTTGCGGACTATAAAATAATATAGAAGTCTACCGGTACCTCGGTGTTGGAGAGTGATCCTCGACCTGCAGATATAATCTATTCTTGTCAGGTTGCGCCGCTGATGTGAGAGAGTCGAGCAGCGCAAGGCCGCCGTGGAGCCGACCGCTGGAGGGGTCCAGTGCCGAGCTGGACGAGCAGCTGCGGAGCGACGTCGCCGAGCCCCGCCCGCATGCGCCCCCCGCCCTCCCGCACAGGGCGACCCCCTCCCCCGGGAGCCGCGCGCCTCAGGAAGACCAGCACGTGGACGTGCCGCGCATACACAACATCGGTCTCAACTTACATTTACAACATTAAAGTAACGATTCATTCACTCACACTCCATCCGCTCCACGGCGCGAGGCGGGTACAACACGCGGCGCCTTCACACAATGAGACACTAGTTCCCGTGTGAAATCCAAACATACCCTACCACCAATATTTGCGATAGGAACTAGGGGGAAAATTCAATGGGAACAAGCAATATTACAGAAAGTACTATATTTTTGTTTTTTGTTATATGCATTGCGTAAACGGGTGACCGATCTCACGGCCTACCTGATGTTAAGTGGTTATGGACACCCCTAGACATCACAACATGAATGCCACCACTTATTTCAAGAAGTGAAGCTGTGAATGACGTCGTCACCCTCCAAATCGGAACGCCTTATTGCATCTCAGTTAAAATAGGCAGGATGGTGTTATTTTACCGCGCGGACTCACAAAACGCCATTCTAAGCTAGTCACCAGTAAAAGTGGGCAGGTGTTGCGGTAAAGAGCAGTAAAAGTAAGTCGAGGATGCTAAGGCTGCTAAGTCTCTTTCTTAAAAGCTTAGTTTTTATTCTGATCTATTCACCCGCTCGTCGGCCAGGCTCCATGCACGGCCCGGCTCGGTCCGGTCATCGAATTCATAGTTATGTTGTTCCTTCAGGTTCCTCACAAGAGCTCGTGAAGCTGTTCCACGATCAGAAGCCGGACAATCCTAATCTACCGCCTCTGCTGCTACCCGAATACGACAAGGAGGAGGCGACAGACGAACAGAGTGTATCCGGAAGCGAGGAGCAGCGCAGCCGGGGACGCGGGGCGCCGGCGCCGGACGTCGCGCAGCCCGCGCGGCCACGCTTCGACCGCTCCATGCTGATGCGGGGGACGCTCACCGTGCCGCGCTCCGACTACACAGAGACCTTCACCGTCTGGTACGCTCCCCCCTGTCGATCCACCACCCCCTTGCCCCCCTGCACAGTGTCCTCTGTCCGTAGTCGTAGTCTTTCTTTTAATATATAGTTTTTTATTAATAACATAGGACTATGTAATTTTTTTAGACTGAATGTCTAAATACGGCGACGTCCGTTTTCTTCGTTTTTTTTTTTAAGGAACGAACCAGCTCGCACCGTTTCATAATTATAAAATTAATCAATTATAAAGTAGAGTGACTGAAGTTGTTGTTGTTGAAGAGACGACCAAACACAAACTGACACGTGTACCTTCCAGGTGGGACGGCTCGAGCGGTGCAGCCCGAGTAGACTTCTTCGACGGTGCCACGTCCACGTACCGCGTCGTCCTCCCCGACGGACACGTCCAGGGCGTCGAGGTTTGTACTCCAGGCACTATCTACTTGTGCCTGCACCGTGTGACCGTGCGGTCGGTCTCAGGCGTCGGTGAGGAGATGTAGTGACCGGTAGTGACCCGCGCGGCGTGTGTGACAGATGCACGTGGACCGCACCGAGGAGTTCGACGTGCTGCGCTGCGTGCAGACGGCCCCCCGCCGCGCCGCGCCCCCGGACCGCGCCCCGCCCGCCCTCCCCGACCTCGACCTCTTCTCCTTTGGCGGTTAGTACCTGTAGCATGTACCTTTAGTACGCTTTTGTGTATTTCTCCTTATCACAGTGTGAAGTATCAATAATACGTTCAAGTAAATCAGAACGTGCGCCCCATTGAGCTAGTACGTTGGTGATGTCTCTCCTCAGGCTACACCGAGACGCCGCAAGGCAGGGCCGAGCGGTGGAAGCTGACTGCGGCGGGGCGCGGGGGCGAGCTGGGCGGCGTGCGGGGGGAGGCGCTCACCTTCCGACACGAGCTGCTCCTGGTCCGCGCGCCAGACAACTACACCGCCGTACCGCTGCAGTGGGTACCGCGAGTCGACTCGCCCTCTGCTTATGTTTGTGCATGTTATTAAAATAGCCCACAGGCACAGCACAGCCCCCAGCTCAGAGTTCCTCGGCGGATCTTCTTTGTGGGTCGCGATACCGATCCGGTGGATTCAGCAAAGCACTGCCCTTGCTAGGACTAGTGCTACCAAATTCTCCCAGGTTAAGCCCGTTCACCTACCCTTTCTTTCGAGCGAAGCTGAAATAGCCCCTCGAGAATAATAAAATGGAATCTATATATTAATACGTGAAGCAAAAACTTTGTATCCCTTTTTACGAAAATTGCGCGGACGGAGGAGTATGAAATTTTCCATACTTATAGAGAATATAGAGAAGAAGTGCACAATGCTAATATTTATTTAAAATAATGCATAAAAAATACATTAAATCAATAAAGAAAACATTACACACCTACATACCATGTATTTGACGCACACACGCATGCATACTATTTATTGTCAAAATTTTGTTCTTGACGTCTGTTGTCAAATTGAGAATAGATTAAAATTAAATATTGTTAGCATTTGTTAATATTTTTGATAGTGTAGTGACTAAATTTGTGATTATAGAAGTATAAAATACAATCACAATAGTGTACAAACTTACAATTCCGATTGATTATAGTCGAATTTCGACTACTGCGGGAACTCTAGTTAAAATAGTTTTGCAACACAGAACTATTGGCTTTTAACAGGTCTGTAAAATGTATAGAAACATTACTGTGGAACTTGTATAAGTAGAGACAGACTTCACGACTTTAATCTAGGAGATATATATATTATATAACTAGTCTGGCCATATTTACTGTTACATAAAAACTTTACTAATTTTTTCAATTTTTTTATATTATTTTAAATTTCTAGCACGTATATTGTTTTAAAATTTTTTTTGTGTTATTTATGAAATTACAAGATGGAATGGGGTGTTAAAGAAAATAGGATTGCAGTGATCGCCTTGCACTATGGACTATGGACCCGTCGGACATATTCCAGACACTTGAAAAGCTCTGTATCAGCCGTGTGTTCGTATATAGTAGGTACTATCAACAGATTCAACAACACTTCGTCTGTCGGGGCGGCCGCGTGCTGTTAGAACTACAAAGGCTGTTAGTGCTGTTTAAGCCAGAATTCGTCGTAACCCATTACGAAGAAAAATATCTTATCGCGAGAAATGAAAATTCCCGCTAGGACTCTGTCGCGTATTATAAAACAAGACCTGAGGCTCGGTGCTTATCGTCGATATACAGGACATGCTCTAAATCAATATTTACAATTAAAAAGAGCAGATCGATCAAAACGCCTTCTGTCGCGATACGCAGGTGGAAGCAACAAAAATATCCTCTTTACCGATGAAAAAAATTTCACGATTGAAGAACACTACAGGAAGCAAAATAATAAAGTGTACGCTCATAGCTCTAAAGAAGCTGCTCAACTGGTCGCAAAGGTACAACGTGGTCATCATCCTGCGTCAGTAATGGTTTGGTGGGGCGTGTCTTATCAAGGACTCCTTGATACACAAAACTACATTTTTGTGAAAAAAGAGTGAAAATTTCAACTTGATACACTTTTCAAGGTACAGTCTTGGGTCATGTTGTGAAATCACTCAGCAATACACTTTTTAAAAATATACCGTGGACTTTCCAGCAGGACTCAGGAGCAAGTCGTGGCGAAATTTCCCTTGGAAACAGTGCGTCAGCCTATAGATTCGTGGCCAAACAGATTAAAGGCCTGTATAAAAGCCAAAGGTGGCCATTTCGAATAGATTTTTTATTTTATTTTTTGCTGTGACTTTAATTAACATGTAGGTATAAATTTAAATAATTGCTTCGTAAAAAAAATATGTATTTTTTTATTTATTTCAAGTGAACGTTGTCAACTATTTCACCTGTGATGGAGGTGCCACTTATCATGTACCTTCTTGTTAATCCGGATCACTTTGTTGGTGCAACTAAAGGTTGGTTGCATAAATAAATAATTAAATAATGATTGGGTTAACTTGGGAACAGGTACACAGTGTCTGTGGACAGCTCGGTGCTAGGCTACAACGTGGAGGGCTACGAGTTCCGCTACCAGGAGCTCCGCTACGAGACTCCGGACCCCGCCCTCCTCCAGCCCAACACAGGTGCGTCCGTGCTGTGTCAGCCGAGACACGACTTAATCTCAACAATTACATTTTAGCGAAGAGTGCGAGGTGCATTCTCATTACTTGTGTGAAAATTAGCCTCAAGATAAACATGCGCGCAGATATCTAATCATGAAATGCTTCTGCAGCGGACGTGTGCGAGGAGCTGTCGCAGACAGACAAGATCGAAGTGGTGGAGCCGCTTCGGGAGTACACCATGCCCTACAGGGACCCGCGCTACGACGCCGAGTTGATACGGTGAGCAGCCGCCGCCAGTCGACTGTTGCTTCGGACCAAAACTATTATATTATGAACATTGTCTTGTTAATGTTTTCAGATTCAAGACCAAGTTTTATAGACAGTACTCGGACGATGTTGAAGAAGCTTTGCGTAAGACTCTGCTGATCGGAGCGAGTCGCTTCATATCGGCCGCGAACCGGCAGAGCGGTCCCTCTTTGCTGGAGGTGAACTTTCTCGCGGACAGGCTAGAGGCCGAGCAGCGCCTGCTACTGGGGGCCGGCGAGGCTCCAGGTCCGTCCTCTGCAGAGGCGGCTCCAACCTCCCAACGACGCGCTCGTCGCGACGCGGAGCGCCTACCAAGAAACTTCGACTGGCGCAGGCACGGAGCCGTCACACCCGTTAGATGTGAGTCCCGTCACGCTGCTATACCTTACCTCTTCATTATTTCGATTCTTTAACTCGGTGCTCCTGTCGGACAGTCCAAGGCTCGTGCAGCTCGTGCTGGGCCTTCGCGGTGGTGGGCGCCGTGGAGGGCGCGCTGTTCCTGCGCACCTCCCGCCTCGTGCCCCTCAGCGAACAGGATCTCATCGACTGCGCTCACCCGTAACTATCTTTCCTTGTACGCGACAACTCCGCCTCCCCCGCAATGTGCAGCCTTTATATCCCCCGCTCGCGTGTGCAGGTACGGCGGACACGGGTGCTCGGGCACGTGGCCGCGCGCAGCTTACGACTACATCCAGGACCAGGGGTTGCGGGCCCTGGACGAGTATCTACCCTACGAAGCAAAGGTACTGTCTACAAGTACGGTCCGGCTCCGAGTGAGAGCGTGCTCGGTGTCATTGTACTGGTCCGCTGTGAGCAGGTGCTGCAGTGCGCGGCGCGGCAGACGCGGCCGGTGACGCACATCAGTGGGCACGTGAACGTGACGCGGCACAGCGAGCTCGCGCTCAAGGCGGCCATCAGACGGAACGGACCCAACGTCGTGCTCGTCGACGGACAGTCCAAGGGGTTCATATACCACAAGAAAGGCGTCCTGTACGACAACCGATGGTTAGTCACTTCTGTAAACAATAAACGAGATCCTGGTTGTTTTTTCTTTTTTGAAGTGAAACTTCATTAGAATCGTTGTGATTTCAAACTCGATGAAACGAAATGAAACGAAACGAATAAATAAGTCTGCCGCGATTGGCTTCCGGAAGCGGCTCCGAGCGGCGCCGACAAATCACGAAGCGCTCCACACGGTCTCGCGTCCCCGACTAGTTCACTGTGTTTTTGACGTCCGTGCACGCTGTCGTGACTCGCGGAAAGCCCTGAAATAGTTTTATTTCTATTTAGTTTGTTATCAAAAGATGTCGCTGCACGTAAATTCAACAATTCCTGAATCCCGGTGACGAGATGTTACACAGTTGATAGACGTTCGCGGATTTCTCTTGCTAAATCACACTCACCTAGCGTAAGGATACCGTGATCATGCAAGCAGTTCCTCCAGGGTGAGGCTGCTCCATTACACCACGGTGTGGTTGACCCTTGCGATTATTTTTATTTTTAATAAGTTTTACTTCTACCATGTGTGACTTGCACACACACACTTTTTTTTTTATTGCCCTAACGGTTCATGGCGGTATTTCAGCAAAAAGCGGTCACGCAACCATGCCGTACTCGCTGTAGGATGGGGAGAACGTCGTGGAGAGTCCTTTTTCGTGGTGAAGAACTCGTGGTCGTCAAATTGGGCGAATGAGGGCTACGGATGGCTTCACGCGCCCTCCAACACGTGCGGTGTGCTGACGGAGCCCTCGTACCCTGTGCTCCGGGACCCCGACGTGGACCGCTTGCCGCGGGAGTCTTCCTCCGCTGACCCCGCCCCTCCATTATCATCTTCACCAGCTCCACCAGTGGCCCCCGTGCCACAGCGCTCTAAAAGAACCTCCAGAAGGAGGTATAGACTTAGCCTTCCTTAGATAATGTTTGATGCGTTTTATGTTTTTGTTACGAGAGATTCTTGTCAATAAAATGTTTAATAAAAATGAATTTTTTGTTGTTAATTCTTGATGTCGTATGTAAGCGCGACGAGCTACAAGATAAAATAAATGTTGGGCAAAATCGAATAAAAGTTCGAACAGGACAAAACTAGTTTTAAAAACAAATAGAACTTAATCAATAGTTACCCATGTAGGTAGGTATATTAGAATACTGTTATAATCAGTAACATTCGATATCTAATATATAAAATTCTCGTGTGCGTGCGTGATTGAACTCCTCCGAAATGGCTCGACCGATTCTTGTTAATCTTAGCGTGCATATTGGCCAGGGTAAAGAATCGGACAACATGTATTTTTCATCCCCCTAAATGTTAAGGGTGGTCCAACCCAAAATCTTTTTTTTGGCAATTTTTTTTGTTTTAATTTTTTTAGGATACAGCGTACAAAAATACACACAACCCTAAATTTTCACCCCTCTACGATCAACCCTTATTGGAGTTTACTCCTTAAGAATCGATTTACATATATAGGCCCGGGGTATGAAAATTATGGGGACCAAAATCGTACTAGAGAGTATAGCATGTCACACGAAATGCGTTATGCGCCTGATTGGCTCCTGATTGGCGCCCGCACGCATCACCATTGCCAGGTGATGCGTGCGCGCGCCAATCAGGAGCCAACGCGCGGCCGCGTTATCGCAGGTGACGCCGGGCTGCTGCGCCGGCAGTCCGCCACAAAGCCTCGTACTGATCGCGCGTTTCTCTCATTATTGTATTTTCATATATTTGTTAGTCGTTTGTTTTGTGTCTCGTTAATTTGTTAATAAT